AAGCGAGGCACCTTAGCGACTGAAGTGCCGGCAAATTGTCTGCAAACTTTTGTGTGGTATTAAAGGTGTAAATAAAGACAGGCAAAGTTAGAAATAAAAATTGATAATATTTAACAGCAAAATAAAGTTCAGCTAAATGTCTTTACTGCTGTTAAGCATAGTAGTATTAATCTTATGTATTTCATTCATAAAAACTTACCAACACTCGAGTTTTAGAGGGTTTTTACCACCATCAACACTGTGGATGTTTAATAACTGATAACAGAAAAAAACTAGAATACATCCACAAAACAACAAAAACATGTGAACAGACAGAAAAAGTGCGATAAATAAGAGGGTTTTTTCGGCTCGTTTTTCCCTCCTGTTTATTCTCTTCCATCTGCTCTGTATCTTCAACAACTTGTACTACAGGGGCACTACCTAACCTGTCTTTTGGCCAATGATTTGTAGACAGCAAGCACAGTACAGTGTTGTACTGACTGTACTGAAGGTCAAGTGAATGTTCACAAAAAAGGCCCCGTAAAAACCCTCTGATAAAAGAAAGTTAGCTTTTTGCTGTACGACAAAAAACCAAAAAAAGCTGAACCATTTAATAGGCAGGGTGGTAGTCAAGTATGAAACTTGTATACAACAAAACTGTGCACTAATTTTAAAAAATGTTTTCAACAAAAACAACTTCGTTTTCCGTTTTGTTTTTGCTAAATTCCATTTACATTTTACTACTCTTGACCACTTTCCCTGCAGTAGCCGAAGCAAAGTCGAGCTGCGAGCGAGTGAAGGAGCTGGAAGAGGCCTCAAAGGCGGTCACGCCCACCAAGGTCAATCGGCTGGACATTCGCTGTACGGCCACCGGTCACTACGAGCCAGTGCAGTGCTTTGCCGCGCCCAACACTCGTCTCTGCTACTGTGCCCTGCCTGATGGGACTCCAGTGACGGCGCCTTCATCTTGGAACGTAGTAAACTCATCTGAAAAAACCGTTGGACCACAAAAGTCCTGCACCTGTCTGCTGGAGAAGTTCACCGTAGAGCGAGGGCTGATGGTCGGCGGAGAGGCAGTTACCGGTGAGTGCCGTTTTTTCAGTAAATAAAAAAGTGTTTTTTTTCATTTTAAGTACTTCTTTACCTAACTGAAGCTCCAAACGGAACCTGGATTCCCTCCTGTACGGCGGAGGGGCACTACAGCCTGCGGCAGTGTGAGGTGGGGACAAATATTTGCTGGTGTGTTCACGCAAACGGCTCGCCGGCGTCCAATGAAAAGGCCGTTGGGCTGACTTGTAAATAAAAAAGCAAAAAAAACACTTACTGCTGAAGCTTTGTACAAATTAAAAGTATCGTCTTTTATTATCTTCAACCATATCATCTTGATAAGTCGTACAATGTTTTCATCATTTTCATCATTATCACCTCACTTCCGCTTACTGACCACCACGGCGGCGAGCAGGGCGGCGCCAATGCTGCTGCCCTCCTCGGCGTCAAAGAGCTCCACCGCTCGACCGGGGCACATCTGCTCGAGGATGGTCTTCAGCAGCGTGGCCATCTTTGGGTGCTTTCGAAAGAGCGACCCATCGACGCCCACCTTGACCACTGGCAGCGAGGAGAGGTGGTCGACGAAGATGGCAACCTCTGCAAAATAAAAAAAATAAAGTTTTAGTAAAATTTTTTGTAAAGATAAAATCAGGTTTTTAAAATACTACTTACCAGCAGCAGCAAAGGTGGCCACTCGCACGGTGATCAACTGTACCACCAGTCGAACCAGCTCGATGTCATCAGCAGTCACTTCCGCCTCCGAGTAGCCCAATCGCTGCAGGAAGCTAGTTACCACCTTCTTATTGCCCGCTCCACCGTCCTTCTCCTTTTCCAAGTAGGCNAATGTCATCAGCAGTCACTTCCGCCTCCGAGTAGCCCAATCGTTTGAGGAAACTAGTTACCACCTTCTTATAGCTAGCTCCACCGTCCTTCTCCTTTTCCAAGTAGGCGCCCTCAATCTCCGAGCAGTCCTTGGCGGACATGGTGTTTTTGGTGGTCAGCTCCCCGGAAACTCGTCCTCCCAGCAGGAGCCTCTCCTCCGCCAGGCCAATCAAAATGTACCGCAGATGCTCGCCCATAAAGGCCGCTCCGGCGCACTTTTCAAAGACGTACANGATGTCATCAGCAGTCACTTCCGCCTCCGAGTAGCCCAATCGTTTGAGGAAACTAGTTACCACCTTCTTAAAGCTAGCTCCACCGTCCTTCTCCTTTTCCAAGTAGGCGCCCTCAATCTCCGAGCAGTCCTTGGCGGACATGGTGTTTTTGGTGGTCAGCTCCCCGGAAACTCGTCCTCCCAGCAGGAGCCTCTCCTCCGCCAGGCCAATCAAAATGTACCGCAGATGCTCGCCCATAAAGGCCGCTCCGGCGCACTTTTCAAAGACGTACACGCTGGGCAGGAAAGAGCTGGCGTCAATCTGTTTCTCAAAGCGGCTGATCCACTTTCCGTCCATCTCGCCTCGGTCGCCGAAGAAGCCCAGTTCAGTGTTGATAATCAGCTCCTGTACGGTGTCCGAAGTTCCAAAGACCTCTTGCGAGCTTTTGCCGGCAATCCGCCCAAAGTTGGCCACCTGCTCAATGTAGCCGACATTGGTTCCCGAACCCAAAATTAAACTCACAGTCGCCTCTGGTTTGAGGTACTTGGCGTAGATCAGCGTCGAGGTGACGTCATTCGCCAGGGCCACTACCTGGACGGGCGCCTTGATAGAATTTAGCGATTTTTGCAGCAACTCTACCGGATCACGGCCAATGGCGTCGGGAATGTTCGTCTCGATGCCGAACTGTACGACGCTGCCCTTATCAATCGCCAGCTGGTCGTAGCCAAAAGAGAAGGTAAAACCGAGAGGAATTCGGTAACCAGGGTCGGCGTCATTTCGCAGCCGGTGCTTATCAACAAAGTTCAGAATTGAGGCGGCGAGGAAGCCAAAAAACTAAAACAAAAAAAGTGATGCTTTAGTTTATCATTGATAAGCTTCGCTTACTTACCCTTTCCGAGTTGCTCTTGCGCACCTCGTCGGGCGCCTCGTAGAAGTCCACCTCAATTTTCTGCTCAGTTTTTCCGGTGGCCTCGTCCTTGGTCAGCCGCAGGACCATGACGCGCAGATTAGTGCCGCCAATGTCAATGGCGAGAAAGTTGCCCTGCTCGGCGCCGCTGGGAAAGTGCGCCCCGGTGGCCATGGTGTTGAACATGGGAAAGGCGCTCGGGCGGCTGGGCGCCTTCTGCAGCCCCAGGGCCAGCTCCTCGGCAAGGGCCGCCTTCAGGGCGTCACTGCGCTCCACGGGGAAGCGGACCTCGGCGAGGACCGTCTCAATTTGGGCCGCCTTGGTGGCATCTTTTGAGGGCAGGGAAAGTTGAGGGTTGAAGTAGGGGTCAGAGGCAAAGTAAAAGGTGGACATTTTTTTGATGATGTTGTGATTGTTTTTGATTGTATATAATTGTTTGTTCTTCAAAGAAGAAGTCGGTTTGTAGTTTGTTGATGTTGTAGCTATGGTCGTCGTTGTTTTTGCTNATTGTTTTTGATTGTATATAATTGTTTGTTCTTCAAAGAAGAAGTCGGTTTGTGGTTTGTTGATGTTGTAGCTATGGTCGTCGTTGTTTTTGCTATGATGACATTATTTCTCTTATATAACAGATGATGTAACGTAGTGGATGATTACAGTTTTTTATGACGTTCTCTTTCTTCTTAAACTTACGTGTCACTTTGAGTTGTGCTGTCAGCTTAAGCTATAGCAACACAGGCAAAAATGAACCCGATATACCGATTTTCAGATCTTTTCTTTCACCCAGTTTACATCATAGAGAAAGTTGAACAGCTGCAGTGAAGGCTTTACCACCACTACCACTAAAGTTTGTTGTTACGGTCACAACTGTTGGCATAAGGAGAAAAGTTATCAGCCGAAAACGAGTGATAAAGTTTGTATAAATAGAAAATGAGGGGAAATAAGCGATAAAATGTGAGCACTAAACAAGGTCGTTGTGCAGTGTGCACTGTGCAAGCATTTCAGCACCATGGCGACAGCATCGGACGAGTTATCTAAGCAGATTAGAAAAAGTTTAACACTTTTTGGGAGTATTATTTACAATGACTTAACTTTTTAGCACACACACACCAATTGTTTTGGTTATTATTGCAAAAAGTACTGCATTAATCTAAAATAAATGCAAATTTTTTAATGGAATTTTATAAACAATAAACAGTAACAGTAGTGGAGATTATTACATTAGCCTAATAAATTGGTTAAAAATGCAAAAATTGAGTACAGCAATGAAATTGGTTCAAACAGTGGTCAAAAGTAAGAAAAAAATTGGTTTAAAAATCCCTAAGAGCCTTCATCTCCTCTTCCTCTTCTTCTATATCACCATTGATGGCATTGTTGTTGTCCGACTTTCCACTTGAATCCACCACCACCTCATCATCGTAGAAGTTCTTCACGCGATGCGCCATAAAGATGGCGGTAAAGTCGAAACAGCTTGAGACGACAAAGCAGAACACCGAGGCGCCGTGGAGGTAGTTGCGGAACTTCACCTGATCGTAGACCCAGCAGTTGCCCGTCTTGCCGCATTTTTCCTCCCAAATTAGACAGGTGTTGTCAATGATCAGGCCAAAGACGATTGAGGCGGGGATGAAAGCTAAAAAAGTGTTTACCGACAAAAAAGTAATTACTTAAAAGGTACTGGAAACCAAATTTTTGTGATCAAGATTTTACCACAAAGATCAATGACGGCGGCGGCAAAGCCAATGGCGAAGGCCTTATCATGCGGCTCGACGTTTCGCAGTGAAATGAGGGCGTTGGGCGTTCGGGCGATGCTGGCGATGATGCCGCCGATGGCCAGCAGCAACACGTAGGGAACTAGATTCGTGCAGGCGGCAATGTCTGAGGGGCAGTAGCCCACCGTGGTGACCGCCCCCTCCGGGAGGCAGGCACAGTTGGAGAAGGTCTGCAAAAAAAATGTACAAAAAATGGTATGATTTTTATCGGTTTCAAAAAAGGTCGTCGTCCTCTTTGTCTAAAGTCCTCACCGAATTTCCCTGAAAGCTAGTACAGCCGGCGTGACAGGGACTGAAGAAGGTGGTCTTCGTCGACGGGCTGCACATCGGCGCGTAGATGTTCGTCGAGCAGTGGCAGTCGGCGTTGCAGCTCCTGGCCAGCCCACTTCCCTCCAGACCGGAAATCATCGCCTTCGGCGGGCGGACCAGCTCAAACTGGCCCGTATTCGGGTTCGTCTGCCCGTCAATCTGCACCGGGTCGCAGCCGAGGAAGAACCCGCCACCGTAGCAGATGATCATCGACAGTTCGCAGAAGAAGACGAGGAGGAAGACGACTCGAGGTCGAGGCTTGATGTAGCTGAGCAGGGCGCCGCCGGCAAAGATTCCCACCGCCTGCGGCACGAAACCGGAAACGCCGGTGAGGAAGGAGGCGGTGCTGCTCGACTGCCGGAACTGCGCCTCAATGTACTTCGACTTGTAGTAGATGTAGCCCCAGAGGCCGAAGAGGCGGAAGGAGTTGGCGAAGAGGCAGCACATCACCAGCGGATTGGTGACGATGCGTTTGAAGGCGCCCAGGCTTCCTGTGATAAGATTTGATAGAAAGATTTGATAAGTTTTTGGAAAAATGATAGAGGTTTTGTTTTAGACTAAAAGTGAACTTTACCTCCTCCCTCTTTGATCTTCTTTTTAATTTCCTTTGCCTTGACCGGGGCCCCCTTTAGTTGAGGGGGAAAGAGGAAAAGTGGCAAAGTAGCTAGTAACAGTCCAGTTCCGACAATGACAAAGGAGAGCCACCAGGCGCCGATGAAGCGAGGATCTTTCCGGGAGATTTTGGGGTCCACTGTTGAAAATGGATAAAAAGTTGATTATTTTCAGATATTCAAAAAAATGTTTAATCACTTACTGAAAGGATTCTCGTAAAAGCTGAGTGAAAATGAGGCCAACATAAAACCGGTTGCCGGGCCGATCAGTCGAAGTGAGGTCAGCGTGCTGATGTACATTGGCGTGTTCTTCTTTCTGGTATTAGATGTGTTTTGATATTAAGTATTAGAAAACTTTATCAGCACTTATTAAAACAGTTCTTACTTCGAGTTATCATCTAGATAGGGCAGCCCTACCACCACATAACAGGTGTAGCCTAGGCCCCGCATAAAGCTTCCGAAAAGAAGACAGGCGACCGCCGGCCACACGGTGGCGCTGGCGGCCAGGCCCCCGGCTGCGCACTCCTCTGCGTGCTTATCAGTGTCGGCGCAGAACTGCAGGTTGCTGGTCTTATTCAGAAAGCCTGATCCTAATCCTCCTCCAAAGGTTGCCGGCGGAAGCTGCTTATCAAGCAGGTGCGTACCGGGGCCGTAAATAAAGTACGGCGCGGCGGTGACGAAGCAGGAGAGGGCGAGCATCACCTCGCCGCTGGCGATTAGCCGGGCCCGGTTGACGCGCACCGCCAGGTGAGAGACGAACGGGTTTAGCTGGGATAAAAAAATCAAAATTTTAAAATGTGTAATTTAAAAAAAGGTGATTTTAAGATAAGCTTCTTACCAAAATTTCGGCAAAGTTGTCCATCACCATGATGATGCCGGTCAGCTTGGAGTCGTAGCCAAAGCGCTTCTCCAGCGTCGAGCTGGTGCCGAAGAAGATGGAGCCGGTCATGGCTGAATTTGTTTAAAGTTTGTTGATAAGTTTAAGAAAATTTTAAAAACAGGGGTTTTAAAGTTACTACACTTACACTGAAAGATGCCCACCAGGCTCATGACGAGCATGAAGTAGAAGGGACTAGCAAAAGTCTGCAGAATCTTCGGCCGCCAGCCAAAGATGCCGCATTGTGTAAGCTCGGCGTCCTCTTCAACATTTCCCTGGACGCCATTCGGCTTGTAGGAAGCCTTTTTGGAGGAGCTCATTCCAATGAAAACAAGCAAGGTTGAAATATTTGAACTAAAGTTGTAGTTAATTGATGATTATTTCTTTCTTTTTTCTATTCAGATCTATGAACTAAAAGAACTAGTATTTTAGTGAATGGTAATGTGTTTATAAACACACAGTCACAAACACACACACACACACACTTTATTTTGCAAGAAATGCCATGCTATNATTTTAGTGAATGGTAATGTGTTTATAAACACACAGTCACAAACACACACACACACACACTTTATTTTGCAAGAAATGCCATGCTATTAAATTGCCAGTGATGGAAACAAACCAATCATCACCGTCAATCATCACTTGGGATTGATTACCAGGCCGACTTTTCATTGGCATCCACTGCAAAGTGTTAGCCTACTTTCTATGCAAAACTTACTTTTGGTTTCTCTTTACTATGTGTCGGTGCCTCTTCTTATCTTAACTTTCTTCCCTCGTTTACTATTGCATCGTTTATCCAAATAAACCAAAGATAAACAGTGTTAAATTAGTAGTAGTAGTAGTAGTATTGCTTTTGACACTGGTGCAAAAAGATTATAGAAAATGGCAATTTTGATGCTGTTGTTTTGTTTGAGGTATTATTGAGAACAAAAAGTTTAAAATTTGTGTTTATTTTGTTAAAGATCTTTTTAATAAGCATTTTAACTTTAACCTTCACACTTCTTTTTGTCAAATTGAATTTAAATGGAAAATTAATGAAAAACCTAAAATTGACATTCAAGGACAAGGTGGCGTAAGCGGCAAACTGTTTTTTTTATTTGATTGTAATTTGTTATCATCAATTGAGTGTAAACTGCCTGGCAATTGAGTTGCAATTACATTGCAAAATGAAAAGATACATTATTTTAGTTTGCACTGCTTGAAAAATACGCCAACATATTTGTTATCAATCATAGAAAATAAACTGAATAGACCAAACTAAGCAAT